TCGCAGCTACTCAATTACTCTCAGACCGCCGGCGGGGAAGAACGCCACCTATGCAGCTGCTGGCCATGTGGGGGTCATGCATCGTCCCAGTTCAGTCCTTTGATTCTGCGAATCCGCCCAAGATGCTGCGGTATAAAAGCCAGCTTCATATGCCGCGGTGGCCGTCCCTTTTGCTCGATCATCATGATCCTCAAAATACGCATCTAGTAGTGTATCTTGTATCATCCTTCAGCTGCGCCCGCGCTATTTACTTCGCAATCATGGAAACCGGGCATGCTCCTTTAGCGCTACACTGGACATTTGGTTTCAGTCGAAATATTGCTAATGGAGTCCATTCCCTGAGCAACGGACAATCAAGCAGCGTGTTTTACCCATCAGCCAATACTGGAGTCGTGTACGACTATGTTAAGCGGAGCCAGAAACTTCTGCAGGGTCACTGTAATCAGATCGCGTGCGTCGCGTTGTCGAATGACAAGCAATGGCTAGTCACCGCGGATTCCGGACAGGACTCTCTCATGGTGGTGTGGAATACTAGGACTGGCAATCCCACAAAGACAATGTTCAATGCATATTCACTAGGGGCAATTAGTGTTGATGTGTCTTGGGATAGTTCATATCTTTCAGTTCTTTCGGCGCCCGACGAACAGAGTGCATCGGGGATGTCACAATATATATCTATATGGGAGCTGAAAAGCAGTAGTGAAACTCCGCTTTTCACTGATGAAGTCCCACCGGATGCGTTCCAGACAACTGTACGTTTCCACCCACTCGATGCGCATGTGCTAATCTCGAATGGGGCTTCGCAAGTGTTTTTTTGGTCGTGGGACGACGGATTCTCATGTTACGCACCTCATTTTTCTCGGCGAGATTTTCGTCAGACGATTGGCCAGCTAACAGTCTCAGCTTTTTTGCCGGGGACTTCGCAAGCAGTCACTGGGACTTCCGATGGCGCCATAATCCTTTGGGACCATCCAACTGGTATCTCGGCGCCGGAGCCGCAAAATTCCAAATCGAGCTATGAGAGAATCGCTGTAAAAATTATGCGCCTGTGTCACCAGAGCATCAACCACCTGTCCACTGTGGGTGCCTACTTTGTAGTTGCAGGGGACGATGGTTCAGTTAGGTTGTACGACTTCCTTTTCCGCTTAGAAGCCTGGTTCGAAGATATTGATGCAGGAGCAATTACGTCCGTGTCTTTCACTATACCAGTCACGCCGAATCAGACAGGCACTCGAGACCAATCGCGGCCTTCACCTGATCTGAGCCTCGCTATAACCGAAAAAGAGCAACTTCATAGCTCTTCAATTCAACAGCCCCGTCGGCCGCCAGTGCAAGAATTCTTCGTCGGTACAAGATCGGCAACAATTGTGGCATTGGACCTTGCATGCTTCCAAGCAACTGATCCTTCAAACCGTCGCGGTACTGTGCTAATTCAGGGGATGTCTGATCAAGTTCACAGTCTTGCAGCGCATCCAAAAATTCCTTTGCTGTTGATAGCCTGCAATTCTGGCGCTTTGTATCTCTGGGACTACGATTCCAAGCATCTACAAACAATCAGGGTCTTCGACGTGACTCGCCTCCAACCATGCTCGGTAGCCTTCGACCCGGCTGGCAGATTTGCAGTTGTGGGGTTTACTTCAGGGATAGTAAAAATTTTGGATGCTCACACCCTAAGCGAGATAGGTGCCTCGTTCAAGGTGACCAAGGATGCCATATCTGCTCTAACATTCTCACAGGATAGTCAATGGCTTGCTCTTGCGGATTCGTCTCATACCGTGGCACTGTGGAGATTTGCAAATACAGATAGCAACGATACGAACACCAGAGAATTTCCACCAACATCTAGGCACAAGGAACCTCTCCGGGATCAATCTTGGATTTACATCGGCCGCTATCGTTCACATGTTAAAGAGATTACTGGCCTTGAATTTGGCAGTCGTGGAAATGACACGATAACCCTCGTGTCCACTTCCGCAGACAGAACTCTCCTTGAGTATGACCTGAGCATAAGTTCTGTTGAAAACGGTCTTTGTTTGCAAAGTCCACCCTGTCTTCTCGAGGAGACGGCAAGACCTACCGCCTGTCTTTGGCACCCAAATCTTCGTGGCGATTTTGAAGACCGAATCATTACGTGCAACACTGATCTTAAGTTGCGTCAATGGAATGCAAACAATAAGCAGTGTAGATGTACATCGCTCGGACCAACATATGGGGGCCCGATCGTAAAACTCTCAGGACTAATGCAGGCAAGAAATCGTGACATTGGAAATGTTCAATATGCACCTTCTGATTTCCTTGCTTATTCTACAGTGAGCAACGTTGCTGGCTTGATAAAATTGCCGCTGGATGGTAACCCCAACAAAACGATCGGCATTATTGCACACCCGAATAGGGTTTCGTACCTTGAAACTTCCGCTGACGGACGATTCATCTTTACATGTGGGAGCATAGATCAGGTGGTGAACGTCTGGGATGTGCAGACCAATGTCATCAACACAGCCGAGATCCTGGGTGGAACTGGGTGCGAGCCGTATATTAATCTACTGAACGGCGGAAAATCTGGAGATTTTTATGGAAATTTGGTGGATTATTTTTACTACTCGCAACTTCGAACCTTAGGTGAAAACATGACAAGGTCACGATGTTTATCAGCTCACGTGCCCCTGGCTGAAATCCCCAACTTGATGCGTGCTCTTGGATTCTATCCCTCTGAAATCGAAATCACGCGCATGATCTCTGAAATCAAATACTCTAGATTTCGTGCCAGTGGGGAGCTGCAATATGAAATCGCAATTGAAGATTTTATTCGACTGTACATCAATCATCGCCCTGTCGATATTGCCAGGACTGACCGTGACTTAATAGCACCTGGTTTTCAAGACTTGGTTCGCTTATCAGCAGGCCTGGGGAAAGATTCCATTGATTTATCGTGGCAAACTTTCGAGAAGATCCTGTGTGGCCATGGTGAAAAGTTTTCGGCGAGTGAATTGCAGTCCTGTCTGCGCTCATTAGTCGGCAATGAATCGCCAAGGAACAAGGTATTTGGCGCATCGGAATTCGAAGAGCAGGTCCTTGGTCTGATGTAGACTGTGCATCGCAATCGCAAGCACGAGATTTTCAGCCTTTGCCGCCACGGCAGATGTGCCGGCTATGAGCCCCAAGAAAGGCACCTGGCTCATGGACCGCCATTTCGGAGCACCGGGATGAGGCTTCTGCGCGTTTTGTCCCTTTCCTTGCAAGCGAAGCATGGGCCTAGACTAGCAGCGTGCGTGGATGGAGAGAGGGGGGGTGTCCAGCTGATGCCAACCAAGATAGGTCTTAACAGCTTGTGTAACCTCGAGCAATGTCTGCCCAAAACCCTGAAAAACCGTTCGCTGCAGATAGTTTTCCCGCACCAACTGGTGCACCGCCTGACCGACGTACTCCACCTGCTCCCCCTGCGAAAGATTCACCTCCAGGGGCATGTCCCCTCTAAATATCGCGTTAGCTAGGGGCAACAGCCCCGTAGCAAAGGCCACGGATTAAGGACAGGTGTGACAAGCACCTCTTGGTTTACGCAGACACAAGAGCAGTCTCTCGCACGAGTGGGAAGGGCGCGCTTTCACGCGCCCGCGCCATAACCTGTAAAGAATCAAAGTCCCGTACATCAACTTGACGTTAAGGTACAGTCCGTAGTAGCAGGATAAGCACAGTGGGTGAGAGGGGAAGCTCAGTGTGCTACCTTACGGTAGCCCGGTCATTGTATAGTAACTGATTATAAAGGAGGGGGACGGGAAGGAGAGCCTACTAGGGTAGGTACAGTACTAGCATGATGGTGGTAGGGTAGTGGTAGAGTAGCGTACTGTACTACAGTATAGTCATGGAGGTATGGAGATAGAGAGAGAGCGACAGGAGCGAGTATCGACTGGGCTGCAATAATAAATAGCAGCTCATTCTCTCTCTCTCCTTTGGGCGCTACTTTCCTCCAGGGCTAATCGAAGATTACCTGTACTGTCTTCTTCTTCTTCTTATCTCAGGTAAACAACGCGGGAGACGCCGCTCGCATTTGATGGAACAGATGCCACCTCGGATCAGCTATGACCCAGGCTTCCCGACAGACGAATCCGCGTTCATCTCGCTCATATCATCCTCGCTCATACATTGGTCGACAAGATCATCCGCCACCTCTGTACTCATCAGCGTTCTGCAATATGTTTATCGGTAACCTCCCCGTTTGTAGTCCGCCGATGCCTTAGCGATAGATGATGCCATCACAACATATCATGACGAGCGTTATGTGATGTGGCAAGAATTACTTAAGGCGCACCAGACATTGACAGATATGAGCGTTTCAGCCGAAGGTGCTCCACCCATGACAATTATCCCCGAAAGGGAGTCCTGGTGGGGTGAGGACAAGGACGATGAGTATAGTCGTTTGCCATCCGGAATCATTAATCCTTCTGACCAACGTAAAATATATTGGGACGCGTTTGTTTGTGCGTGTGTCGTTTATCTCACGATGACAATGCCATACTCGATGGGGTTTCACGCCGAAGCGAGTGTAACACGGGCGCTCATCCGCTACGGCATCGACCTGGCGATTGACTGCACATTTGCTATTGATATGGTCCTTTCCTGCTTCACTGCATACGAGCTCCCGACCGGCGTATTGGTTGGAGACCCTCGGATGATTCGCATCCACTATCTGAAACATTCTTTCGTGCTTGATTTTGCGTCCACTTTCTCGCGTGTTCCAGAATTTTGCGGCGAGAATAATCCACTGATTAAGAACGTGCGGGTGGTCCGTGTTGTACGACTCTCAAAGCTGTTCAAGCTCACCCGTCTTATGAAGCTCAAGAGCAAAAAAACAGACCCGACGGAGGAGCCTTCAATTTTGGCACAACCTGGTGTTGTTTCTGCTATTCGCATGTTTCTCACTTTGTTTGTTATTGCTCACATGCTTGCATGTGTGCGTATACCTGTGTCCTAAATCAGTTTGTTTTTAGTTAATCATCCCGTAGATTTGGCACGGGCTTGTGATCCTAAAGCAGCAAAAACATGAGGCCGAAGATGATCGGGGTGAGCTGACAAGGCACTGGGTGAACGCCAATAGCCTGAACGGAGACACGCCAACAAGCCGGAAGTATAGGGTCGCACTCTACTGGGCTTTTACAACGATGACAACGGTAGGATATGGGGATATATACATTGTGAATAATACCGAAAAGTTGGTAGCGATGTATGCAATGATAGTGGGGGGTGCCTGCTTCGGGTACATCATAGGTGGCGTAACCTCAATTCTTGAAAACCTGAACCTCTCCTCGACAATACATGGTGAGAAAATGGACGCTGTAAAAGAGTATTTGTATGATCGACAATACCCACCTGTTTTGGCAACTCAGATCAAGAAGCACTTCAAACACATCTACGCCACAGAAGG